GCCCATGGATTTGATCGAGGCGCATCAGCTTTCAGTTCCAGAGGTGCTCACCAAAGAAGCAAGCGCCTTCATGGGCAGGAAGTGAGCTGCAGAGTTTGCTGTGGTTTCCTTTTCGTGGACAGGCTGAACTGCTTAGCAGTGCTTGCCTTCTGGCTCCTGTCTGCCTTTTTGTTTCGCAAATAGGGCTAACTTGGGGTTGCTGTGATGAGCTGGGTGCGGTCATATAAGGAAACTCAGCTTTATTGTTCTTTTCTTCATATTCTGCCAGCCTGCTAATCACTCGTGCTGAACCTATAAAGAAGTATTTGTCTTGACAAATTTCAAGTGCCCAGGTTCACACAAGCGTGTTCCATGCCCAAATGCCCTATTTTAATCCCAAAGGGGAATGAGGTTGTGGGCGAGGGCCTCATTTTGGAAGTGATGTGAGAGTGATTCAGCAGTAGATGATGATGTCTCGTGCCGTCCAAAACCAAATTTTTTGCATGCTGCATGGCGCATGTGCATGCTGCTGCCTAAATCCCGGATACTATGTTGACCGGTTTATATGGTTGCTGTGGCTTTGCTCACACTTAGACTGCCATGCCACCATGCCGCATGCCCAGGTAAATGAACTGGCAAGCATTCCACAGCATTGTCATGTTCAGGTCAGGATGCTGCTCACTCACTGGTTGAACTATTCATTTTTTGTGGCGGTTAGTAACTAACTAGACTGTCCACAACTGCCATGAAGCGGCCGGCTGCTGCTCCACGATCACGGGCAAGGGGGAAAACTCCAGCCACACCACCACCAGTTCTTGAAGTTCAAAGGCCTGCTAGATCCTTGACTCAAGACCTAGAAGCCATTATGGACGCTGAGGAAGGCGCGGGTCCAGAAGTTACTGCGGCCAGAGAAACTCAACCTGTACCTGTACTGATAACATCGCATGGAGTGACTCGCACAGGTGCTGAGGATCAGGATCATCATGGTCTCAATGATGGTGGACAATGTGAGGGTCAGGCAGCTAAGGCTAAGGCACGTCGTGTGATTCAAGTTCGAGATTCAAGCGAGGATGCCAATGTCAATACCAAAGAGGCCACAGCTAAGGATCCTGCTCCATCATCATCTGCTACAGGTCCGATTCTTACTTCAAATTCCATTGAGGTCGAAGCTCAGGATGCTGCTCCTTCATCATCCACTGCAGGTCCAAAGCCTGCTTCAGGATCAGCTCCAGTTTCAGTGCAGCTGGAACAACAGATACCCGATGCAAAATTGAAAACAGAACCAGGACATGACGACAACAATGTGGACACTATGAAGAGTGAAGTCCACAGTGAAGTGTTTATGTCAGATGATGAGATGGACGGACAGCTGGAACCAGAGGACTACTTGAATTCGATTGGGAAGTCAATGGTTCATGCTTTGTTGAATTCGGACCCAGAGCTATTCCAGTGCATCGTGAAGTGGTTCGAACAAAACGTTAGCATTGACATTGGCACCATTTGCACCGGTTCCGGCATGGCAGAGATCGCTTGTGAAACAGCTATGGCCGCACTAAAGGAGGTCATGGAGTCGCCAGCCCGGGTCAATGTCCAATTTGGGTGCAGGGCTTTGCTGTTCTCATAGTGTCATATCAAAATCGTGATTCTATGTGCTGCTGTTATGTTCTGTTGTTGTGCCTTTTTGCGTTAAGGGCCAGTGGCCAATGGCAGAAAACTTGCAGCCTAGGTGTGAAGTGAAAAAGAACAAGCGCAACTTCCTGATGGACACTACATTCCATGACGCCGTCAACTCGCCATGCATTTTTCAAGATGTCACATGCCTCTCTCAGGAGACTCGCAAATGTGCCGTACATGAACGTGTGTGCGTGATCCCCAAGGTTGATTTCCTGATCGCAGGAACTAGTTGCACTGGAGGATCAAAGTTGAACACCAAATGGCAGGAACTTAGAACTGCCATGGTTGAAAAGCGCAAAGACATTCAGACTGTCTCAACATTCCTGGGGTTTGTTGAAGTGTTGGGGTTGTCTGAAGCCAAGCTTGGCATCCTAGAGAATGTTACTTCTTTGGGAGATTTGGACTCACTTGGGGGCAGCACCAAGGGTGGTGAAGACAATCTGAGCGAGTTCATTCGCATTCTGGATGAGGCGGGTTGGAAGTCGAAGGTGACTGTGGTCAGAAGCGATGACTACTACTTGCCACAACGGAGGCAACGATTGTATATTTTCCTTGCCCAAGCGGCATGGCTAGTGGAGACTGGGCAAGACGAAACAGAGTTCTTCGGGAATGTGGAGCAGTTTCTCCTAGCCATGGCTGCTCCTGGCAAAGCAGAACCAGTACATCGTTTCCTTGAGGTCCCTACAAGCAGATTCGTCATAGAAGAGCTGCAGCGCCTTCAAGATATGAAGGCTGAGGCTGAGGAGAACGGCAAGACAACCCGCAACAGTACCAAGTGGGCAAGAGAGCATATGGACTTTTGTGAAAAGAGAAATATGCGATGGCCTCCAGATACGCCCGAATATCTTGAGACCAATCCGTGGTTCAAAGTTCTTTGCTTGTAATAGTCCTGAGTCATGAGTCATATTTTTTCAAATGGGGTTATATAATTATATAAAGGTCAAGGTGACGTTTATGTCAATGTCAACATCGTTCTTCATTCGTCCATTTCTTGAGAAAAAGACGGGTCTGGTCCAACCAAATTCACCCCAAGGTTCTTCCTCGACGTGACCAAGACGTGTTGATTCTTCGTTCTATGGTGCAAGCTGAAGTGGATGGGCTGCATGTTGACCAGCAGGGGATCGAACGTGCTTTACATGGGAGGTTGCTGGACACAAGCCAAAGCATTGGTCGTGGTAGCCTATCACCTGTTGATCAGTGCAACACCCTCACCCCCCACGGCACGTACTGGCTTGGTACTGAGAAAAGGTTGCTGCTAGGTCGTGAGAAGCTAAGTCTTCAAGGATTTCCATGGACAGCATTTGAGGTCCTAGGTGGACAGGAGTACAGTGAGAGTTTTCTCTCTGACCTGGCTGGCAATGCTATGTCGGGTCCAACAATCATGGCAGCATTTCTTGCTCTGTGGGCAGCCATGACAAAGGCTGAGGGGTCAGAGCAAGATGAACTCATGGCAATTTCCAAATCTTTTGCACGAGGTTTCGACAGTGTGGGATGATGTGCCATCCATTGAGGTGGCGCGTGAAACCCAAGGAGCAAACATGTGAAATGAAAAGGTGCGTGCTGCAACTGAGTTTTGTTTGACCAAGTATTGCTGTGGGGCAATCTTGTATTGTTTAGGTTCTGTGTACCAGCGTGCTGTGCGGTGTACCCAAAGCAGCATCATACCGCACACCGTACCGCAGCATACAGCATACTGTAATAGTAATAGTAATACCGCACTCTCCCAATGTACCGTGCCCATGCTAAAGCGTACCACACTCTTGCCCCAACGTGCCGTGCCCATGCACCGCACCCGGCGTCCCTACCACTGTCATGCGTACCAAACCCTTGTACCCTAGTACTGCACCCATGTCCCGCACCCGGCGTCCCCACCACCACCCTGCGTACCAAACACTGGTACCCTAGTACCGCACCCATGTCCCGCACCCGGCGTCCCTACCACCACCCTGCGTACCAAACACTAGTACCCTTGTACCGCACCCATTTTTGCACAAGCTTCAGAGTATTGCCTATGAACTTTGATAAATCATTTGCATCAAATGATTGTACTGGCATGGCTCAGTGCAGAAAACCATTCTGCTTTCAATGCAAATTCTATTTTGCCATTGCTTTCAATAAACAGTTTTTAGGATTTCAAATTATATCCATATGGAGGTATTGTTGAACACTAGTTTGATTTCTGAAAAATAAATATACAACATGGACTAAAATGGATATACTGCAGACCCCCTGAAAAAGTTGAAAAATAGAGTGATTATGTATAAACAATTGTGGACCACCTGAAAAATGTACAATATGTATTTTCGACCGCCTCAAAGTTTTACACTTTTCAGGGGTCCAGTTATATCATAGCCACTCTTACATGTTTCAATTCAACAACACCTCCATATGGACATAATTTGGTACCCAAAAAAAGTTTATACTCTGAAAGCAGTGGTAAAACAACTTATTTTAAAATGTACAAGTTCAAGGGGGTCAAAAATAGATGCAACAAAGCTTGCAACATGCAAGTAAGACATAACTAAACAATGCATCAAAGGGGTCCAAACATAGTGATAGTCATAGTGATTATATATAGATACTTCTTTAATTACCCTCTCTCTGAGAGCTACTGGTGCTGGCGGTTGTTGTCGTGAAGCGACCCGAATACTATAATATTAGCTGGACCTTCAAGGGGTGTCCTGTCTGGAGATCCCCGGATAGTAGTGGGCTTCCAGCCACCCCAAACTGAAGGTGCTAGACTGTGACTTGCTGCCAAGTCTGAAGCCACTTTCGAATGCATGTTTTGAAGGAAGCACTCAGAAGCACTCAGAAGCAGCCTATAGTAGGTCTGATATGCCAAGTATACAAGTCGAGATGAAACATCACCCAACTCTCTCCAACTGCCCAAGGGGAGGTGAAAGGAGTTGGAAAACACCTCAGGACTGAAAGTGAAAAAAAAGAAAAACACACCCACACCTCAGGTCGGTGCGTACACTCTGAAAAGCCAACAAAGGGCTGAGCCACAAATCGCCCATAGGATTCAGAAGCAGAACTTGAGGTCGGCAGCTTCAACACGCATAGTCGACCTGTAGAAGAAAAACACATCTGTATGAAAGTAAAAAGCACATGATGGAGAGAAATGGTGGCCAACATCTTGGTAGATGATGCTTGCTTCTATCATTTCGGATCAAGTAGGGGTATACCCTATACAAGCGAACGTGCTCCTTTCAAAACCACAAGCTACTAAACCAACGAACACAGGGATCCTTCCGCTAAGAATGCCTCACATATCGGGTGACCCGGGTGTCTCTCATAGATACCCACCGACTTCGCTCGCTGGTAAAGCCAAAACAACGCCCGGTGGCCTCGCATTCATTGATGCAGCACACCGAATAGATACTCGACGACGCCACGCCTCACTCACTTCGGCTTAGCGACCAGGGGATCCACGCTCTAAAGGGCTGTTTTGCAGGTCGACTTATTGGGGACTCCGAGTCCAAGGGTCACTTGGAAGCTGCGGGAGAATGTTTTTCAGCATGGTCAAGCATGGTTGATGAAGAAACCAGCGTCCCTAAGCATCAAGGGACAGAAAGAAAAAACAAAGTTGATCAAAGGGATTGATAGTTTCAATCGAAAAGGATAGGTGTTTTTTATTTTTTTCGACGCCTGGCCTCTCCAACAACCTATCGACATGCATCTGAATGTTTTATACGTGTTCTGAGTTTAGAGCCTTTCCCTGCAAAGCCTATATTCTTGCTTCCATCTGAAAACCCACCATGTTCTGAAAACCGATCGATGCTTCATCTGAAAGTCATCATTTTTTTCTAGTTCGATGTCAACCACCGTTCGATGTGTGAAGACTTGTGACGAAGACGAAGACACTGTGAATTCATGTCAACTTCACAGACAGGAGTATGAAAACTGGTCCAAATTAACTATTCAACTATTCATAACTATTCAACTTCTGTCTGGAACTTGCGGTTGACTTGTGATTTTGCACAAACCTTTCGATGTGTTGAACACCTGTCGATGTGAATTGAACAGCCGGTCGATTCTTCTCATGGAAACCTGTCCTTCACCTCTAGCCAAAAACTCAAAACCTATCAAAAAAAAACAAGGATTGAAACATATTGAAACTATACCTGTCCCAAAGTCAAAGCCCAAAAAGGATTAATCAAATTATTCAAACTACCAATTGAAGGTTCCATCTGTTTCTATCACAAGATGATGCAAGATGCTTAGTATTGTTCCAAGTCCTAAAGGCCGAGGAAATGACCGCTGTGAGCAATTGGCAAATGCTGACAAAAAATGCCATTACATGGCTACCTACCTATTATTTAGCATTTGCGACCTGAAAATCCCATGGAAGAGACAAGCGGCTGTACCTTTCCTGTGCCTTTTGGACTGACATTTGGATTTGATGAAAAGAGTTTAAAACCAAAACCGAAGAAGCGACCGGGATCCTCCTCCCATGACCTGAATATAGGCTGTGCCTTTCCTGTGCCTTCCTGTGCCTTGACCACAAGAATTCCCTCAACCTTCCCTCCGAATCTGCTTCACTCAAACAGTGGCGACACGCGGAGACCTTCTGAGAGGGGCCATTCCTTTTCGCCAGGATCCGGAAGACCCGTTCGAAACAGTTGTCTGGCGAGCAAACAGTGTCTGGGAATCCTTCCTGGAGAAACCCCACATTCCAACAACCAACATGCACAACTCCAAGCACGTCCCGTTAAGAATCGACACTCGACACTCTCTGCAGTTGTTTCTCTTTCAGACTCGGACGACCAAATCCGAAGACCAAACAGATTGGTATTCTCCACTCAGACTCTGATGATTTCAGGCACCCTGAGACTCTGGGCCCGAAGCGACACAAAGGGTTTAGGGTTTAGGGTCCTAACTGCCATGGAGGGCCCAAGAATATGTTAACAAACACTCGGATCCGACCTCCTCTTTCATACCCCCCTTACTTTTCTCCAAGAACCCTGCGGACATTCATTTGTATCAAGAAAATCTGGTTCATTCTGGGAGTCTCCAACGCTTCCATTCTCCGTTCATTCCACAACCGCTCAGGGCACAGTTGGATTGCGAATTCACGTAGTTCGGGATGAGCACCGCTGGATTCGAGGAGTCCGACCTCGGTGCGGCTGGATTGCGAGTCCTTCGGAGTCCGGTGTTTGTCCCAAGGCGTGGTCACCGGGAGTTCTGGCATCACCCAATGGATGTATAGACTCTTGAGACTCGGATAGCCCTCCCAATGGAATTGGACATCCTCTTCATGATTGGGTGGTTTAATCAAGAGTCTACATTGCACTCCTGAAACGATAAGAATTGGTGGTGCCCCATCGACTCCACCAATTCCCATAACTATGTCTATCGAAATGAAATCCCAGAAGCTTACACTGGATAGGCGTTTGTCTGGTGAGTTGGTTGAAAAGCCAACCGCGGCCACACCATATCGTGAAAATGACCAACCCTACTGCAAGAGGCCCTGTGACTTAAACTATTTTATCCCAAGATAATATGGGTGTGTATTAGAATAGGGAGACCTCCAAAGAAACCCACTGGAAGAAGGAAAACAAACCAAAATCCCAAATCCAATGGTCGCGAGGCCCCTCCAATTCAAATACTATAACCCATCTAGAAACATCCATCCATGTCGGCCGGAGTCCGATCGTCAGACGTTTGGAGTCCGATCCCTTCATCCCCCGAGAGTCCACGCCTCGCCTTGGTCCACCGCGAGCCGCGTGTGCCTGCGTGCCCGACGTTGGTACCTACTCTCCGGGAGCTCCGCACTGGTCCAGCGCCCCCAGCTCTTGCAAATACTCCACCGATTCCGAGAACTGCCTCGGATCCAACGGCCCGACCGGGGTCGGGTCCGCGGGCTGGGGAAGGTAGAAGATGGATGAATCGAAGATCCCCAGATTTGGAGTGTAAAACCATGTAAATGTTAAATCCTCTTCAGGCCTGCGGGGATTGAAATACTTAGAACTTCTTCTTGGCACTTCTTAAGGTGGGGAGTGGGTGACATGAGTCTCAGTAGGACGGCAAGCGTTTGTTTTCTCAAAACAGTTCATCAAATTCTGCTCTGCCTCTTGCATGTAATGCATTGAATTGTCCCGGCTGCAGCTTTGGTCTTCTTGCTTTCAAACCGGCGGAATTTTTCAGTTGGGCGGAAAGTGTTGCCTAATGAAGATTTCCGGTATAATCAAGAACTCGAACTCTAATTCATGTCGGAAGGCGCCTTTGTCCGAACAAACCCCCTCGACTTGTCAAAAACAAAAAGGATCAAACAGATGCAGCAAAGTCGAGCTAAAGATAGTAAAGGTTCCTCAACCAAAGGCAAACATGGAAACGAACTGCTCAGCGCTGCCTTCCAAAATACAGCTCGTTCTGCTCGTTTCGACATGATTCGACTTGATTCTCAGCATTTGCCTCTGCAGTCTGTTGGTCAGTTGCTTTCCTCGTGTCCAAGGCGCCAATTGCCGTCCAGAGCCGCGCCGTAGAAGTCCTAGAGATGGGTGCGAGTCGAACAATTCTGAGAAAAAGCCACCCAGAATGGTGTAGAGTGTAGAATGGTTTAGATATGCTTTAGATCAGGCCGTGCCCCAGGTGCTTCTAACTGATCCCAGGTGGTTCTACTGGTTTAGATATTGGTGAACACGACGTCGTTCTGATGGAATGTCTTACGACCACTCCTATGCACTGCTCCAGTCCTTTGCGCCGAAGCGAGCCGTTCCCCCTTTGGCGTCCGGTCCCCGTTCGTCGTTTCGTAGGAAGCTGCATGATGCATGATGCATGCCTGGGCTTACCCCGTCCCAAGCAGAAATAAATGGATGCTTCCCCAGCCATTTCTGATACAGGATCTCAAATTATGGCCATATTGGAACAAGCCCTCAGTTTCTGGGACTGGGTTTCCAGGTGTGGGAAATGACAAAAGTTCCGAGTGCCGATTCATGCTAAAAGCTCCCCCGCCGCGGGAGCGAGCAGGCCTTCTCCTTCAAAGGCTGTTATTACATCTCGTGGTCCATCAAAGTACCCGCCAATTGCAAACTTCTGCAGCCGTGCCACAAATATAGATCTGAATATATGATGTGGGATTTTCTCCAGCGAAGTGTCCACCAAAAAGTCTCCGCCGCCCTCCTTGCCCCTCCCTCCAGCCTCCCTGAACCGTCCGTTGCTGGTGATACCCGACCGTTCGCTTTTCACGCGGCGTCCACGGGAGGTTGGTGGTAAAGAGACACCCATTCGATCCCGTTACAGTTTGACCCTTTGAAACACATGGTCACGGGGTTGATCCTGGTCTTTTGTAGTTAGAAGTCCTGGGAGGTGTGGACGGCAACCGCTTTTCGGACGGCAATAGGTATTCTTCAATCCCTAACACATATAAATATAAATATATATAGGGTTGGGGAACCGGGTCCGTTTTCCCCTGTGAAGAGGGAGAAGGTCCGGCCCATGGGAGTCCAAGTCCAATTTCTTGTCCTCAGTGTATGTCTTTGGGACTTCTAGAGGGAACTTAAGACAAGCTATACGTAATATATGCATGAAAAATATCTGATATCGGGTGTCCGTCGATCATCTTTGATCTGACAATGATCACTCAGCCAAAGGCGTTCGTACAAAAGCTTTCGGCAGCTTCTGAACCGCATCTTTACATACACCCCCCCACGTCGCACGGCGGTGCCACGGGAACTACGGGAACCGTGCGCCCTAAGGCCCTAAGGCAGGTTTCACCAGCATCGCATCGCACAAACTCGTGTCCAGTCCTTGAGAAGGACTCGTCCCGTGCCTGCATTCTCGTACTTGGAAAGTAGACCTGGCTCCCGGTCGTGGCAGAACTGCCGTCGAACCCGGTCCGGGTTCGACCCGACGGGTTCGCGCAGATTTGGAGACGACGGAGCACGAACCCATCTCTTGGATGTCGATAGGTTCTTGGCTAGAAGGTTTAACCTTTAGTGTGACCTAGCCTTCAAAGACCATTGAAAGGTATTAAAAGAATGGTTGACCATGGTTACTACAAACTTTGTAGTGTATAAAATCCTTAGCAAAACAACAGCTCGATAGAAAAAGACCAAGATGTTGGACTTCCTGGGTCCACAGGGTGTGGTTTGAGAAATCTTCCATACAAACCAAAGCTGGACCGCACGAGTGTACGAGTCTGCCTGAGACAGTCATTTCTGAGGCTCTGATGAGGCTCTGATCTGGTCTGATCCCTACTTGGAAGCTTCCATGACGCGCCTGGGTGATAGATGTTCACTAGCTATGTTCACTACTACTCTGGTTCTGCGATCGTTTTCAGACCCATCCTCTGAGTGGACAGTTGGCATATCGGAACTCGATGGAACTGGACTGTCGTCAAGGGACGGACGACACCAATCCAACTGAATGGGAATATGTTCACCGGTTGCATTGCCTACATTGGCGGTTGAGCTCCGATGTAGACATCTTCACTTCTGCAGTCCCACCGGTCGTATCTGGAAGGATCCATTTGGCCCGGCCCGGCATCCACCGTTTCGACGAGTCGCCGGAATGGGCACGACCCGGGACTGGAAACCTCCGGTCGAGGTGGTTCAGAGTGGTTTCCTCCCCGTCCCCCACGCATCTTCCTCCGTCTACCTCTTCCACCACCCCACCCGCCCTTCACCGAGGCACGCTTCAGGTCTCGGCATTCGGCGTCCTGCCAGTGGCCATAGCGCTCCCCGATCTCCTGATCCCAAGAGCTGGGGCGCTCTTCTAACGACCCTTCCAAAGAGCTCGGGCAACGAGCTGCTTTTCCGTATACACTGAAGATCCGTACAAACCATGGGGAAAGACTGTTCAATGACCGTTGAACAAAGAAGAACGTTGGAATGGACAGACTCCCCGGGGTGTTCCGCGTTTTCCAAGAATGGCCGACCCGAGCTGGACAACTGGTCGTTTTGAGTAACCTGTCTGTTTTCTCATGGTGAGATGATCCGTTTGATTCGGTTTGGTTGAACTCTTACACCCGAAACCCCGGGCCACTGCAGCTGAAACGAGCAATGAGGTGAAAGGATGATGCAGAACGTACCTGGACCGGAAAAAAGGGGTGTTTAAGAGAACAGTGCAGGGGCTTCCATTGGTGGCCCGTTTGAAGGTGGTATCAGGTGCTGGTAGAATGTGCAATGTTCAACATAAATATAGAGTCTTTGGCTGGGTGCTGCAAGTCAGAAGCACAAAAGGAGAACAGCTGTGACAAGAATGAAGCAACACCGACACCGACACCTTCCACGACGGAGAATACGTCACGTCGGTGGTCCCTCCATCCGTCAGGTCGATTTGCCGCTCGGCCACCCAGTGGGATTGTTCAAAGTGAATGACAATCCCATTTAACCATGTTACAAGTGCTTCCCGGTAAAGGTCGCCTTTTAAACGTATTTAACCTAGCCTTTACCATACAAACTAGCAATATACAGTATCTACAATGTATAGATCATGCCATGGTCATGCTCACGCCAACCTCTTCTTGAAAAACACGTGCCTCCACGATCTGCGTGGCCGTGTCGAAGCTGAAGTTTCCGGAGTTGGACTGGCAACGATTCGAAGGCGGAGCCAAAACACCTTCACCCGCTGGGATGGTGTCTAGAACGAAAGAGTCACTCTCGCGCGCCGAGCGTCACCATGGCGCCGACCCGGTTTGGTCCACCGAAGATGAACCGGAATGGACTACTGAGGTCAACCAAACAGGGTTTTGCTGGCTCCAGGAGTCGTCAACCCACAGCCCTGTGGGTCAAAAGATCCGGCAAGGGCGGAGCTCAAATGAGCAGATTCCTGGGTTTGTTCGGTGAGGTTTTGACTGTAGCCCACCTACATGGAACCTCCCAAAACCGCACGCAGAACCAAATGCTGGGGGATGAGTTCTTCCACCCATCCAGGCGCAGGCTGTTCCTTCTGTTTTCAGCAAGGCTTCAGTCCCCCCGGCCGCCCACGCCGGCCTTGGCCAGGACATCCGAGCGGACGCCGATGGTGAACTTCCGAGTGCTCTGCCAACCAGGATAAGTCTCCACCTCGACGACTCGAGGGTCTTCAGGGTGGGTGGAAGAACTTTTAGACCCCAAGGGAGGTTGTTGTAGTGGTACATGTGGGATGGGCGAAAAGGGGCGAGCCGAACAACCTCTCTTGGCCTGAGAAAGTACCAGTGGAGTTCTGTTTGGGATCTGTTTTCGGCAGTTTTAGGATGAGTCTGCTTTCGAAAAACAACTGGTGAATTATAATGACCTGATGACCTGAGAGTGCGGTCGCCTTCTTCGGGTTTCGTGTGCTGAGAGTCTGTCTTTCGGAACCTCTCGACCGTCCTTACGAACCACAGGGCGAATGGGATTTTCGCAGGAAGCCGTCTAAGAGTGGGTGGTTCCAAAATCCGTTCGAAACCCCCGCTGGAACGGGCTTAGTAGGAGCTAGAACATTTCCTGCCCACCTTCATCCACTCTGTATATATATATATATAAATGACGCAGTGCAACGCAAATTGTTCAAAAAAAGAGGGTATGTTAGAACATACCTTGCAAGGGTATTTAAGAACATAAAATAACAAGAGAATCGTATTTTAGAACATAGCTCTTAGAAACATCCATGATAGTGTTACCAAATGTTCTAAGTATTTACAAGATGTTCTAAGAGTATGTTCTAAATTACTGTTCCTCCCAAGGCCCCCCCCTCTCCCAGGTCCTTTTTCTCCGTCTCCCCCCTTCCAAGCTCATATATATATATATGTACATGCACCCCTTATGTATACATCTTCATGTGTGGATGGTCGTGGTGCGTGTTCTATGTTCTTTGTTCTGCAGCTGATTGAATGTGTGTTTTCTGGCATGTTTCCAAAACCACATGGCACAGCGACATCACCTTTCCAAAGCTTTAGTGGATTGTCTAATGAAGAATCACTATTTAAAAAAAAAAAGTTTTGCAAAGGGAAAAGGAAGAACCCTTTGATCTGGAAGGTTTTTTCAATTTTTGATACGAGTTTAATAAATGATGTTATACAAAATCTTCCTGGGTGACTTTTCGGTTTTGAAGCTCTTCCCAGGTTTCCGCACAAAATCTGCACTTCAAGCTTCACAAAGCGCTGCGCCTGCCAGGAAATCTGCATTTCATATATATATATATAAATATAGTATGTATGTATGTATGTATGTATGTATGTATGTATGTATGTATGTATGTATGTATGTATGTATGTATGTATGATGTATGTATGTATTTTTTTCTCCTGAAGTTGAAAGTGCGGGGTTTGGCGCCATTGGCCGGTCGGTCTATGGCTCTGCTGGCCTCAGAAGTAATCGACGTTGATTTCCGGATCATGGGCCTGCTCGGTCTCCTCCTCGGCTTCTTCATTGCTCGAGGGCATCGCTTCATCAGCAGCTTGTGACACGGCCGAGAATCGGAGCTTCTTGGGCACTGGAGGTGAGAGTTCGTCCGTACCCTGTGCAGCAGGTGCCATAGGACCAGGCTTTGGCTGGGTGTCATGGCCGGTGTTGTGACCTGTGGTGGCCGGTGGTGCATCTGCAGCTGAGCTGTGTTTGGGCCGTTGTGGCTCTGTCACCCCTTGGCTGGAGGGACTTGCTTGACTGAAGAATTGCGCGAGAGTGGGTGAGGTCGGTTTGTGACCTTTGCACTCTCTCTGGAGCCCTTTTGTGAGAATCAGGCGGTCTTGAGCATCAAGGTGGGTGTGTAGTCCACATCCTTTGCATTGGATGCCCTTGCCGATCTGCCACAATGTGTGTGTCCCATGGGCAGTGTGCTCCTGGGAGAAGGGTGCATCAATGCATGTGCTGTTCAGGAACTGATTGAACAGCTCTTCATTGGCCCTTTTGTGGATGGCTTGGTTGCATTTGGTGCACTTCAGGTAGCCAGTGGTTTCCTGGAAGTGATGAACCTCTGGCGTGGTTGGATGTTCTTGTTGAAGCTGAAGCAGAGAGGCAATGCGGCTCGCGCGGGTTGGTTTCTTCCCAACTGCTCTACCAGGTGGTAGGTCAGGTTCCGGGGCGGGTGCTGTGAGTTGTGCACAGTCTTCCTGGAGCCGTTCTTCAATCATGGAAGCAGCCCATCCCTGATGAACGCGGGTTTGGCAAGTGTGACACTGGTAGCCGCTTCGGTGGGCCTTCCATTGGTGTTTGCCCGGTTGCCATGGCTGCTGGCACTGGGCGATGAGGTTCTTTTTCCTCTGTTTGGTCTTGTGGCCAACAGCTCGCCCAGGTTTGGTGTGCAGGTAGTGGTCCTTGTCGTCGTAGATTTTGGCCAATCGAGCTGCAGCGTGTTTGTAAATCTCAAGGTGGTCTTGGTCGAGGATGCGCTGCCAGGCTTCTTTGTCTGGGTTGTGGATGCTGGTTGCCCGTTCCCATGCCGCCAGGGCTGCGTCTCTTTGTCTCTGGCGTAAATGGGGTTCGTTTCCGGGGGCGTCCGGGGTCTTGTGGTTCTTGTGGATGTAGAGGGGTGTGATCAGAGTGAAGTACTCTGCAGGTTGCCCCTGGACCAGATCATGGAAGCCCTTCCTTTTTGCCGGGTTGGTCCAAGCTTCCCAGACCGAGCTCACCTGGACAATGACTCTGGTTGGTGTCTGGATGAAATGGGAGCCCTTGGAAAATGGCTCTGGCTTTCGTCTGTGGTCCCCTCGCCATGCCAGTGATGGTGCCTTTTCGTTGCAGGGCTCCCAGTGAGTAGCCGTGAATGCAGAGGGCGTAGATCCATGCTTGGGCTCTTTTGTCTCCGGAGGTGGGAGTGGCATCAACCGTGACTGAGAGCCCTTGCCACGGTTGGAGTGGAAGTGGTTCAAGGGACTGCCAACAGCCATGTCCTTCCAGGTCCAGTGGTCGATGGAGATGATCTTGTGGTTCTTTTGGTATCCACCCGTATGCCCAGAGGGGTTCTTCCAGCGGATCGTGCAACCTTTTGGTCCATGGCACTGGAAGGGGCTGGTGCTTTTGGTTGTGGTGCCATTTGCAAAGCCACACGATATGTTTCGGTGTAGCTGGAACTTGACAAAGGGGACATTGTTTGGTGGCGGTGTCATCTTTGAAACGGATGGCAGCTTGGTTCCAAGTGCGGATGTGGTTGGCCTGGATCTTGCTGAGGTGTTTGGTGACTTTGGATGCCGTGGTCCAGTCTATCCCGCTGACAAGGGCTTGACAGTTGCGTCTGCTGGCAAAGCGATGCTGCCGCGGTTGTTTGGCCTCAGCTTGGAGAAGCTCCTCAACCTGCCACCATGGTTGGTGAAGATCAATGTGGGCTTCAGTCATGAAGGCAGTCTCATTCCGGTGCCATTCATAAAGGCTGTCAGTGTGCCACCCCCATTCTTTGAGATAGGCCAGTGTCGCGGCCATGGACCCTTTGACGTGGTACCAGTGGTACTGCTGTTGTCGTAGCTGAGTTTGCAGTTCCATCCATGCCCGTTCAACATGGGGTAGGTGTTCCGTGGGCCAGTGTGTGATGAGGGCGTGGAGGGCCTGGACATGTTGGATGACCACTTGGTCTGAAGGGTCCAGGTATTTGGTCTGGTTCTGGTCGTAGATAACGTGAGTGAGTCCTCCGGAATGAAGGCCAAGATGGGTAGCCAGAGCCTGCCGAAGGGCCTGCCTGTAGCGAGGAGCCAGTCCCTGGCCTTCGACTCCCCACAAAGCTACAGGTTGGATGCCTCCTCGATGGAGCCGAAGCCTGGTACGGAGATTGGGAAGCCGCAATGTGCGCAGCTTGATTCGACGCTGCTTGTTCTTCTTGAAGCGGTTCTGGAGGGTGCTGATGCGGCGTCTCCGACCAGCTTGGTGATCTATCCCGAGATCTCGCATGACCGATTGGATAGGAGGATCATCGGGGCCAAGGAGTTTGGCCAATGCTTTTTGGGTGGCTCTGTCTGTGACTATAAATGCTGTTTTGTGGTTGTTGACTTTGAGGCCAACTTCAGTGAGTTGCGACCGCAGTTCATGCCAGGCCTGCACGATGCGGGTGGCCAGCGTCTCAGGATTGGAATGGCTGCCATCGAAGCCAATGTCATCGACCCATCCATTGAGGTGCAAGTCTGGATGTTTGGCTTGGAATGGGCTGAGGATTGGTTGGAGGTAGGCTTTTGCCAACAGTGGAGCCTGAGGGCATCCTGCAGCAACCCCATGGGTGACATGGAACCAATGGCTGAGCTCGGCGTCTGCCAGCACTGCTTTGGGCCCTGTGTAGACCTGCATCGCAAATTCCAGTGCTAGTGGTGGGTAGTCCAGTGCTTGTGCCACTGACTGGAGCTTCGTGAGGTTGATAGTGTCATAGAAAGTGCTCATGTCCAAAAGGACGGTGCTGCCGTGGTGTGCCAATGTTTTGTTGCTTTTCTTGGCGGAGTAGCCTTTCGAGAGCTACATGGAGTGCAGTCGCGCCAGGTCGTGCTCTGTCATAGTTCATGGATGGAGGCAAGTTGAGTTGCCAGCTGTCAAGGATGCTCTTGCGGAGCCGGCACCAGGTGCGGTAGAGGACGCTGGTGAGGGTGATTGGTCGCTCCACCTTCTCGTTTTTGGCCAACATCACGACCAGGCTCATCTGGAGTTGGGTTGGCATTGTGGCTGCTTTCTCCATGTCCTGGAGTAGTTGGAGCAACGTTGGCAATGCCTGAGGTGGTGTGTTCCTCAGGAGCTGTGTGCTGATGGCGTCGGGTCCACAGGCTCGGTCAGGTAGTTGTTTGAGGACCCGAGCCAGGTGGCCGATCGTGAGTGGCGGCAGTTGGGCAGCTTGACGTTGGGCACTGGCCTGGAGAGAGTCCCTGACCAGGGGTTGGTTGTCATGGGTGGGCTGCCAGTGCTGGTGCCACTCATGGAGCCTATGTCTCATTCGGTCGGCCATTGGGATATCGCGGTATGGCCGTTGCCAAGCTATCTCACTTGCTTTGAGGTTCCTGAAAAGCCCTCGAAGGCCTTTGGCTTCGCCTTGTCGGATCCAGGCAGCGTATTGAAGTTGACCCTCAGTTCTGGATTGCTCAAGGGCCTGGGTGAGCTGATGTTGGATGGTGTTTTGCATGAGCTCCAGCGTGCGGGGA